GACTGATAAAGTCCTGGTAATACAGCAACCACACAACCCCCACCTGTCTGTCACTCAGAAGAGAGTAATGTAATCTAGGCTTGTGTGGCGATCACAGTAAGTGGTGAAAATGAGTAACTATGACATTACAATTCTGTAAATCTAGAATTACTACCTCAGAGTTTTATCCATCCATTATCTATACTGCTTTTCCAGTTCCTTTTTGTTTATGTTCTATGATGATGTTGTCCTTGTGTTGCTTGTCTTCTGTTTACTCCTGTTGCAACACAAATTTCCCCTTGTGGGACAATACAAAATCTTAATCTGAATCTGAATTTGAATCCTGGTCGTGGGGGGCTGGAGCCGATCTCAGCTGTCATTGGGCGAGAGGCGGGGTTACACCCTGGACTGTTTGCCTGTGAATCACAGTGCTGACATTCAGAGACAGACAATCAGCCACACTCACATTCACAACTACAATTTAGAGCCCAAATCAAAGTACATCTTAAAGGCAGGGTTGGTTATTTTCAAATGGATTTTGAAAGTAGCATTCCCTCAGTGCTCCATCTACACCCACCCCCTCCCCTCTGTGCTCCCTCAAAAGCCACGCCCCCTCACTTAGATGCACGAGAGCCATTGGTCCAGAAGCGGACCTCAACTCATCTCGTGCATTGTGTAGAAACTACATCGTCTCATACAATAAACTGACAGTATAAACTCTGTCATCGGTAATGCGCTTTGAGTGTGGGCTCGTGCACACAATTTCAACCAGAATCTTAAAAAATGTATCTGGAGAATGCACAGCCTTGGCCTGTTTCACTTCTCCATTGGGATAAGAACTTTGTTTTGATGGATCAGATTTATTTTTATTTTTCTGTAGTTTACAAATGACAGAAATTGACAGAAAAACTGACGCTGCCTGCAGTTTCTGGAAAGTTATTCTAGGTCTTTCTTAAGCATTCTCCGTGGTGCTCTGCAGTTGTCTAACATATTGTACACCTCCTACCTGTAATAATAGTAAAGCGCTACTGAAGTGTGAAATCATATATTTCTGCTCAGGATGACAGTTTCCTTTGTGGTTGCAGTGAACAGCCACAAATGATGTAAAAACAGAAACATTAAGGGATAAGTGCTGCAAGTAAGCAGAGATGTCTCCTTTGTGCTTGTTTCTTAGAATAATATCACAGTATTCTTCAACATGCTCACAGGGATGGAAATATAACAGGACCATAAATAATTAATACAATACAAAAGAAGAGTCTCATGACACCTCAAAGCATTGGCAGGATATGTTTTCACTGTTGCTTTAAGGATTGAAGTGAGACTCATTTCAGGGAGAAAATGTTAGTATTTGATTTTTTTTTTATCTTTAGCTTTTGGCGAGGATTTGCAACACACTGCAACATGAAGGAGCTGCCCTCTCCATGTTGGCGAATAAAAGCTGTTGTTTAAAAAGCATCCAGTCATTATGTGTAAAGGAGGAAAAATGGGACACAAATACCTGAATATATATTAAGAGAAGAGAAGCAGAAAAAATAAAGAAGCGTGACTAATGCATAATCAAATGCCTTCGAGACTTCAAAGCCCTGTATGGTGGAAAATCTCCACTCTGTCATCTCGTGATACACGACGGAAAATGGACAGATATTTTAATCTCAGACTTTCCAATGCAATGTTGTTGCAACTCTGTGGACATCTTACAGATTGATATGAAGCAATTTCTGAGTGGGGACATTATTATTCAGGTCCACTTCACATATTCCAGCAAGTTGTAGTCACAAGAGTGTTATTTGTGTTGGTCCTTCTCAGGTTAACAATGGTGGCTCGTCCAGCCAAATTCATTTATGGCGTAAAAGCTTGAAATAAATATTTGGACATTTGTGGCCTGAAGGAGAATTATTTAGTGAAGACACCCCTTGCTCCAGTCATGCCCCTATATCCTGATGAGATAACAATACCCTACCGTTTGACCATTAGTTACCACCACAACCAAAACAGCATTGCCAATACATTGACGGCTGTTCTTCTCATTATCAAACAAAACCATCATCATTACCACCATCATCATCATCAATAATGTCAAAAACCATCGTCATCATCATCATTAAGTGTGTAGGTGTTCATGAAAGAGCTGGGTCTTTAGCTTTTTCTTGAAGTTGCAGAGGGACTCTGCAGATCGAATGGAGTTTGGAAGTTCATTCCACCACCGGGGGGCAACAGAGGAGAAAAGTCTAGTTAGCGTCCTAGGACCCTGTTGTGAAGGTTGGATCAGACGCCTTTCATTGGCAAGGCGTAGTGGGCGTAGGTAAGGAGAATTTATCGCTGTTTTGTAAGCGAGCAGCTGAGTTTTACATTTTTATACGACCAGTAACTGGGAGCCAGTGTAAAGAAATGAACTGAGTTCTGTTTAGACTGATTGGCAGCAAGAACCAGGACTTCCTGAGTTTGTCAAAAGGGAACCTCCCTTCACCGGTGTTTAGCCCATTTAGTCCCACAACACCTCGGGAAGGCTGGACAGTTAACTCTGCGTCCCAGAGCCACTCCCCTAAACTCTAGCTCAAACCGCCCACCATATGCAGTTACATACTGTTCATAAAAGACACATGACTGGTGAGGTTGTAGTATGATGCTAACAGCATGGATTAGTAGGCAATATTCAGTACATACTGTTTGTAGTTGGCATCAGGTTAGTATTTACTTTCAGACACAGCCCATATCTCAACAGCTATTGGACAGATTTGGTAGAGGCATAAACTAAGAGACCCAATACTTGTAGTAATAAACACATTAATGGGGAACTATTCAGATTTCCTTCAAAGTTATCATACTTGGTTAACACACAACACATGTTGAGGAACATGGCATTAGCTACCCAAAATCAGTATTGGTAATACTGATATTGTGAGCATGTGGCTATGTTGACTTCAGTTAAATGAACTTAAAAAACTAAAGAGTTTTAAAGCCAAAACAATCCATATCTGAACATCTTCAATACACGTCAATTCATTTTTAAGTGAGTTTGTAATGTGAGAACCCTGATTAGATTATTCAGTCACTCATATTCATTCATATCCATGAGTAAGTAGTATGAAATCAAAACATAATACAAAGACAGGGGTTACAGATGTGAATGCATGCTTATTAATCAATTTAGAGGAGACATATTCATCATTAGCAGGCTGTCAGTACTGTGGGTCCACATAAAGCTGACAATTGGTCCAACAGTGGTCTTCAGATTCATTTTGGCCTTTTTATGCCTTTGCTAGATAGACTGGACAGGAGATGGAGTCTGAAAGCAGGCCACTTAGGCCAACGGTGCGCCAACAACTTTTTATCTTCAAGTTGTCTTCAATGGGATGACCACATTTGGGGAGCCACTTGGAGGAGTTTGTTCAAGTATGAACCCAACAAACCACCCAACAAACGGTTGACTTCCATTTGGCTTCTAGGCGTTAGCACAAGATGCTTTTTGGTTTGTTTTGACCTGCTGCATTATGCAAACCACATGTCATACATTGCTCTGAAAGTCAGGTCAATACAGACCTCTTTTTTGGTTGTTTGATTTAGAATGCAGCCATTTTGAAACAGTCTTAGGCCCATATTTTATGTATTTTGCCACCTCTTGGATCTATCAAAGCAAACTTAAATGCAATTAACTTCTTGGTATAGAGAAGAATAGCAATTCCTTGCATTGTAACCTCAGACTGGTCGTTACTCAGGCTCAAGTCAAAAAGAGCTTACTGTTTATGACAGTGAACTTCACAAAACTTTATAAAGCAACATTTTCAGCAGAAAGTTTTTCGCAGTGAGGCACTAAAAAGTTACTGACCCCAGCAGCTGATCTGCAACGTAATGTAGTGGGCGGGATAGGTACGTATCCTGAAGGAATGTCAAAAATTGAATGCGGAAGGAAAATGCTATCTCTAGACAATCTTAGCAGTAAAAGTGTTCAACACTGATATTGATTTTATGGTGCCTTTTGTTTGGTTGGATGTATTCTGCTGCCTCCATCCATAGCAGGTCTTTGCATAGCTTCATACCAATACCTCTTCCAGCTTCGTTATATTTTCCGCATGGCCAACGCCACAGTAACTATGGACAAGAATGTAATCCACAGCCCATAAAAATGTCAACAAAGACTTTAAAGGAAGTTGATGAGAGAACGAGGAAGTAATCCAAAAATATGCAAATCCACAAATGCATTAATGTCTGCGCCTGCTGCCCAAAACATTTCAGCTCCTCTGTGCTGATGTTTACTAAACCATCTTATAGTTGCTTGGAGATACATGAGTCCACTCTAATCTATAAGTGAAACATTTTTGCATTAAAAAAACATCTCACAAGCTCTCCCTCTCCTTGAGGTGCATTAAAGGAGATAAGATGAAGCATCCCGAATTGCATAAATTGCATCTTCCCAGCCCACCTGAAAAGCTCCACTCAAGTGCATCACAGTACTTGAAAAGAAATTACATTTTCAGGGGGGTGGGGGGTGGGGGGGTCCTGACAGCTTTTCTATAGAGGGAAGGGGATTTAGCTGAAGCAAAACACAAGCAGACGGCACTAAGATTCTGCAAATAACAAGAACGCTCTAAACAAACCTGGCTGCTACATTTCCTGGTTGCTAAGCACCACCTGGAGGTAATGAGTGTGTCGTCGGCCTAAGAGACGAGAGGCGAAGTCAAACTGTCCACTCAGACACATTACAGAGCTGCTTGTCCTTGATGTGGGTCATCTCAGCCTGCAGAAATGCTCATGAATATTTACGCAGCTAGCTGGACTTAATAATTGATGGCCACAACAGGATATTCATACAACATTGGAATACGAAAACAATAGAGAAGAGGTGGTATGAGTGGGCATGAGATCAAAAGTCCCTGAGGCTTGGATCTCCAAAGTGTTAGAAGTAAAGTACTTTGAAAATGATTTATATTGAAATCTAAGAGGACGGTCACGGTCAGCTTTTTTTTTTGCGCTAATGTATGGAAGCTTCGAGCCAGAGTTTGTACAAAGGAATCACTCACCACACATCCGGTGGAGTCCAGCTTTCGGTCAGATATGCAGCGGAAGTTGCGGCTGCAGCCTCCGTTGTCCTTGGTGCAGTCTCTGACAGGCCCGAAGGAATCCAGGAGAACCTCCAGAGAGTCGAACGATGAACTGATCATCAGCTCCTCCCTGTTACAGCAGACATGGAGTAACAAAAGAGGAGGTTTGTTTAGACATGTGCAGCTCTGTTTGTGTTCTTACTGTTCAGTTTTGAGCTTCTCACAAAGCAATTAATGTAGTTCACTGGGTAGGTGGAAGATGAAATAGTGCTTTGTAGGCGCCTAAATTACAATTTACAACAGGAAACACAAAGAACAACAAAATGCACTTACAATAATATAATACACAAGGAGAAGACAGTTAGTGCAGATTTCCGGGGTCAAGCTGCATTAGGGGCCCATGATGTCCACGGTAATCCAGCCACATGAATGATAATACTTTTTTTTTTTTAAACCTAAAAACTCTACATTTCTAATGAAGACAAAAAAAACAATATTTTATTATTGTTCTATTTCAACATGTTTCTCAATCAGCTCCACAAGCTGATTGGTTCAAGTCAGAGGAGGCGAATGTTAGTCAGGAGATAGTGTTGTCACTACCTATCCAACACGCATGCATTGATATTAAATTACATCTGTGGAGGGCCCATTCAGCCTGCCTTTCATGGGCCCAGCCATGTCTGTGGGCGGGTCTGAATGCAGGGGGGGCTCCCGATTCTCATCAGTGGCAGCCGCCAATGCCTTACGACAGGCTGAGGCTGGAGCCTGTACAGTGTGAGACCATGATGAATAACTTATCGGATTAATATTGTTTTTTTTTTTTTTGTACCAAGCTGTAAACATGTTAATTTATTCTGTAAAAACGGCTTCTTTGGCTGTGGTGTGTTTGTGACTTCCTGTGCCTCTGCAGCCGGCCTCAAGTGGACACTCGAAGAACTACAGGATTTTGCACTTCTGCAATGGCTTCATTTTTCAAGACCGGAGGTTGTCGCTTGGACAGACAGTAATGTTTGACTATGATTTAATGAAGCCTATCTTTAAACAAAGCACACCTTACAGTTGTTTATTTGTATTGACTATAGTCAGTTGATTGTCTCTGTGGAGAGAGATGAGGAGCTGTCAAAGTTGTCCTCCTATGTTTTGCTCTGCCAGATATTTTTCTGACATCTGCTCTTTATTCCATCGGAATCAAGAACATTCATTTTTTGCATGAATTACAAACACCTGCATGTTTAATTAATCTGTGCAATCATCATGAAATCTCAAACTTTGCACACTACTGAAGAAAAAAAAAAAAAAACTATACAAAACTCTTGCTCTAACTTTGCTCTGAGCAGATCATTTGTTTGTGTTTTTTTTTGTGTGTGTCCCCTGTAAACCTTTTTGCAAGGTCAAGTAAACACCTGATCCAGCACAAGGAATTTATTTGAGACAGCAGCAGATAAAGAAGCAGGGAGAGAAAGTCAAGGTTTTTAGCAGCGAATCTGACTCACACAACCTTTTTTTTTGTATTTCCTGAATGCTGCTGATGATAAGCAGGAACTTGTATAATAGCGCTGCTATGACCCACGCCTTAGTGAGGAGAATCATGACTTCTTAAAGGCACTTTTGGTTTCATCGTCCGCAAGTGTGAATGCTAAATTATTTGGGAACCGAATTACAGCCAAAACACATCCAACCTGTGTGTCCTAGACACTTTTCCTTTAAATATCCCAGTGAAAAAACTGGTTAACTGCCATGTTTGGTATCTTTTTGAAGCGCCAGCATTCATCATACCGTCAAACGGAGGTGCTGCAAATACAGGTTGTCACAGTGGACTGTAAGAGCCTTAGCAAAATATCTCATACTAAAGATGGGAGTAGTAAGATGGTGGATGTTTGGTGCTTAATGTACCATTGCTGTGTTTTTTATCCAATGCAGTTAGGAGATGAGATGTCTGGAAATCAATCAATCCCTCCTCTGATGAGGAGCTAAAAGCTTCATTTTACGGTTGACTGGGTCCTTGGCAACACACGTTTTGTGGGTTACACTACTTAAAGAACTCTGTAATCTGTATGTATAATTGTGTTCTCCTCACGGCGGTTTGAAGGAACCATAAAGGTTAAGCCTGGCTCACACTGCAGGAGTTTTTAAATCCTTCCCGATTTCCAATTTGGGCAGCATCACACACTTTAGGAGAATCCTAACAGCATAGTCTTAAGCATGCTCACACTAGATATGAACATCTTGGCACATCACAGACTACAGGATTTCCTTAAGATTATCGTGCCCGATGGAGGAACACACCACCTCACGTACACAATGGAGTTTTGGGGTGAAGGAATGTTTGGGGAGACGTTGGCAACATGGGTTGTATATCTTTCAGTGAGAGGTCATTTGTAACTGAGCATTAGGTCATCCTTCTCTCGTTAAATATAAGAGCAGGCCGTGAACAGGCGGCCCCTCCCAGTGCTGACGGCTTCTGGGTCATTTCCTTCCCAACTTTTTGTGACCGGCTGCTGATGGACAGTTGGGAAGCACCTGGTCAGGATACGGAGGAGACAGTCAACCACCAGCGCTACACCCTCTCCACTCTCTCTTCACCAAAATCAAAGATCAAAACAAATATCTGAACTGAAGACGGAACGGGCTGGCGGCTCAGGGAAGCTGAAGATGGTGGGACAGGCCGCCGTCCCCAAAGTCCAGAACTAAGCGACAACCGAGTTGGCATCTAGCTTGCTCTAAGGGAAATAGGGAAGGCCCAATATATGAGTCTCTACCTGGAGCCTTCAAATCACTAAAACCGCCACTGATGGCAGCCAATGCAAGATGGCGGCGTTGGCAAATCAGCCTTTGGATTCCTTTGTGCGGTCATAACACAAGAAGTCACCTGATAGTGAATTTACCATCAAGTATTTTTTTCGTCGATTGTGAGGCAGTGAAATGCAAAAGCTGTATCAGACTTCTCAGGTTTATATATCTTGCAACCTGGTCCCAACCCAGCTAGATCTCATTCTTTAGTGCCACTGCTTTGTCCAGTTTAAACCTGCAGCATTGTTATTCCACACTTGAGTCTCAATCTGCAGGCAAGACACAAACACTGTCATTGCACACAAAGCAGATTTTCTTTCAAGGAGTTATGAACCATTTAGCAATCGAAATCCTTTTTATGGTGCTTCATTGCCACGTAATTCTTTATTCTTTTTCTTGAAACCGTTTTTTGTTTTTTTTCTCAATCTTCATAATAGATTTTGTGTTAGATCTTAAGAGTTTTATGACCCTGTGAATCATGACAGCCGAGACCTCTGAATCAACCCCACAGGGCTGTTTAAGGCTCACTCCAACGGTAGTAAATAAAAGCAAATGGTGATAAAGTGAGAATTTAATACTGCGAGACAGCTCGAGAGTAAACAGCAACTTTTTCCAACGGATGAAAAAGACGCTCACATCTCAAAAGCCGATGTGTACTCTGTGTTGTGAAGCTTTATCGGACACAATAAAAAAAACAACGTTGACAGAGACTTCTAGAAATACTGCTGCAATTAAAATAAAATAGTTCTGTTCACTTCGATGTTGTGACAGAGTAAAACCTTTTTCTTGAGTTGGAGCTTTTGTGGAAAGTTGTTACAGTCCATAATAATCTCTCACCGTACGTCCACCGCATCCTCCATGACCGTCATGTCCGTCTTGCACTTGGCTGAGGGGTTTATGGCGAGCTCAGCGGGAGGGATGACAAAGCTTTTACTCAACGGCAGCCACATCCCTTCTCCTAGAGTGTATGTGAATCTGCAGAGGAAACAAAGGGTGGTTCAGACAAGTACAGCTGCAGAATAGTTTGAAAGGATAAACAAAGAAACAAGTTGAAGTCAGAATGGAGGAAAAAAACAACAAGAATGAAGTCGTGTCAAGATGGACAAAACGACACTCAGCATGTTTTGCCGTAAAAAAAAAAAAGAGCTGAAGGAAGTACCATCCATGTAATCAGGAGTAGGGAACCGACCGATATGAGATTGTTGGGGCCGAAATCTGAATCTGATATATCAGCCGATATCTTTCTTAAATCTATGTTCGATCTGTAGAGATAGATTTAGATATGCACATTTATTTTGTTGATCCCTCAAATGCAGTAATAAACCACTTGTGGAAAAGATATTTAATAAAGACAAGATGGCCACTCAGCTGGAAAGTAACTGTGCATGTACGTGCATCAACGCTTGAGACTCTGGAGAGTGATGATGATTGTTGTAATTCATATAGCGCCCTCTGCTGGTGAACAAGAACCGCTAGTGTAATTCAATGAAACTCAAATTAAATGCTATTTGAATATATCGCCACATATCTGCTATAAAATTAGCCAATAGTCACTTGATAAGCTAATGTCGGCCAATATTATCAATCGGTCAGGCTCCAATCAAGAGGGAATTTAAATTCAATCTCTATCTAGGAAGTAATTCCTGACAATATATCCACTGAGGGTACATTAGATTTTCACTTTTCAGAAGTGATTGATTACATCGGTAACTGTTGTCCCAAACTGTGAACAGCCGACCAAAACTTCTCCTTATGGAGACAAAATCAGTGATAAAATCAAGACTGATCTGTATGTGTGATTTAAGTTCACAGCCACTTTAAGTCAATACTCCATCAAGGTCTTGTCTTCGTGTCGTGCATAAACAGCCGCCGTGCTCTGTCAAAAAGGGCTACTTTCAAAGATGCATGATTTTGCTGCATCAGTGTTGGAGAATGTCTGCTGGTTGAAGGTTATTTATTTTACCTTTGAGCTAAGTTATCCCTTTTTTACATAACTCTCTCCTGAGCAGAAGGGCACTGTGTGCTAATGGACGCAATGCATACTGAATGAAAAACCCTGACAAAGAAGAGCCAATAAGAGTTTCCCGTGAGACCAGAGAGGGCTATAAATCTGTAAACAACAGATGTCTCCAACGAGGGCTTTAAAACAATTCTTTATACGCGAGTCAATGAATATCATCAATCTTTAAAACACTCTGCAGATGAAATGTAATACTCCCAACTTTAAGTTAAACAGTGCATGCTGATGAACATGAAATGCATTATTAAACGTTGATGAATTATGCATGAATACTTGTAGCACAAAAGAGCAGCACTTGTTGATTAAATGGTTAACAACCATTTTTATGCAAACTAAACACATTTCCTTATCCACAATTGTTCAATTTGCATTTCATAAAAATGCTAAGTTAGCATAAAAGAAAGGGCAGCCTATTGTGGGCACTGCATCAATTACCAGTCACTTTAAGAATGAATCAAAATTAAACCATTGTGGACTTGGAAAACTTAATTACATCCAACCAATTACTCCCTTTGTTTCGCAGTCAAGTTTACTGTGGATCAAAGTGCCGCCGTTCTCCCATTCACTGCGAAACCCAGAGCTGTAGCAAGTTATTAAGGAGTGGTAGGTCTATTAAAATGCTAATATTTCTGGATCATTTTTCAGAAAGTTGTTGCCACTTCTCTCAGAAGTCGTTCCACCTTCTCCTCTGGGACTGTGTAGCAGGAGTATTGAAATTCTCCCGTGATACGGTCTGACGTGTTAGGGTGACCACAGGACAAATTAGCAGCCATTTAACGAGTACTGCTTTGTAATGGACAACTGGGGACCAACGTGCTGCTATACATCTCATTTGGTTCACTCTTAGAGAAAGGAGAGAGTCCCCCTGAGAAAACAGTTGTTGAGTGGAAAACATGTTTGTAGTCCTTAGAGAAGCTCCCGGCAGTTAAAACTGTGCCAGTGGCAAATGCTGTGTGTTTGAATGCTGACTCTCCACATTTATCTCCTCCGACACGGGAGGATTTTTGCACGCATCCACTAGTTTGCTTTGTTTTTTTTTTTTAGTCTCTATACCACTGTGATTCTAATTGCCTTTTTTGCTTCTGTGTTTAATGCTAATATCTGCTTTGGCAAGCAAGAGGATGATTGTGTTGCTCTCCAAGCGCTTTCTGATCTACAAGGTCTTTTTCTGAGGACTGGCTGACAGGCTTGTTTTTTCAGAAGTTCAAAAGGCTGAAACATTTAAATTAGGATGGATGGATGAGTGGGAGCTGAGAGATTTTTAACACTTACAGCCGGAAGAGAAAGCCTTCTCACAGAGAGAAACAAATAGAAAATACTAGCAAGGAGGGCAATGAGCAAAGCACTTGAAGGAAACATCAGCTCAATGCCAAAGATGATGCAGACAGCTGGGAGAGTGGTACACAGCGACACTCTGGGTTTCTTTTTAATTGTAAGCAGTCGCACAAACGTTTGTTGTCTTTGCTGCTGAACTGACATGGAGGGAGTCAGAGACATATAATGAAGCCACAGCCTGTAGTCTGACCAGCCTCGCAACAGAGAATGAATGATGTTTGGAAGGAGGGCCGTTAAAACCATTGCCAGGTCCCAGACAGGTGCCCATGCTGTCTGGAAACGAGGCGTCCTGTTAAACATGTTCTTTTTAAGCTCATTGTTTTTGCTTCCACAGCGTTTCACTCTTAACAGCCTTCATTATTAACTATGTGTCCAGCATTGCTGTATGCTACCAGCCTAGCATGAAACAGCACACACTCTAAAGCCATTTTCAATCATGTACTTCTGAAAAATGCATTTCAGGCAGGATGCGGAGATGGTTGTTCATATTTCCTGCTGTCCTCGCATTTGCTCAACCCAAACCTCACGCTGCCCATTTACTTTGCGGATGGCATATGCAGAGTTAAAAATGTGTCTGTTTGAGTAAACACATGCAGCTCACCCCCCAAAAAAAAATGTTTTAGGAGTTTTGTTCATGTGTTAAAGCACCAGAAGTCAGCCTCAATAGGTGAATGAAGATTCAGAAATGTTCCTTAGATGGAGACAAAAAAAAAAGCAAAAAAGGAATAAAATATTTGCCTAATACACAGCCCCTAATAAATGCTCTTATTTCTCATTCTATAGATTCATGTTGCCAAACGTTTTTAGTCCCATTTCTCTCGCAACCTTTTACGGTAACTGTGGTAGAGGTCAAAAAGCTCCAGCAGCACTTGAAGTATGAAGATCAACTTGACCTCTTCAAGCCTTTCGCTTTTGATAGTTGGTGAGGTTGTGCCAGAAAATCCCACTCTGCTTCCTCAGGGTAACTTTGATAGTCGGTACGTTTACATGCAAGTCAATGTATCACTCCAACTAAAAATAGACATTAAAAAAAGACATGTAACCATGTTGGTCCAGCTAAAATCTCAAACTAAAATTCCTCAGACTAACACACCTGGATAATGTAGTTGGGGGTCGATTTACTCCTGCATGTATACTCCTCAATCAGGACCCATGGACTATGTGCTCTGAGCACGCTCCACGGTTCCTATGCTGAGCTTTGAGCCTGAAGTCAAACAGCATAAATGCGTAGCATAGCAGAAGTCGTGCTGTCGTCTATATATAGATATATCACCATAAACTAGAGGGCTAGCGTGCATCATATTTGTACCAAAAGTAAAGCGTATTCAGTACCTATGAAATGAAGAGAGCTGTAAAGTTGTCCATGTTTTTACCATTCCACTTACAACCAGTTAGCCGCTTGCTAACTTGTCAGAATAGGCAAATCATCACCTATACCACAGAGTCAGCCTAACTTCGGTCAACAAATCAATTCTCCCCTGGTGCCTGTTAACTGGTACCCGGCAAGCTAAAACTGTAGCTCTACTTCATTGTAAACTTAACGAGGGTTGTGCAAAGTGGTAAAAGAAATGTCAGGTGGTGCTTTTTTAAAATTCTAAATAGGCTTTGTTGTAAAATTGTAACGGACAGGACAGGGAAGCCTAAAAGACAGACTAACACATTGGAGGCTTTGGTCGTTTTTCTGGTTAAAAAAATACCTAAAATAAAAAAAAATTACAACCATATTCTTTAGGAAAGTAATGTAGAATATCAAAATGGATAATGTATCAATGGGCGTCCCGCTAAAGAAAAGATCAGACTGTTGATAGGATGAAACCCTCACCATGTGCCAAATTATGATATGCTGCTCTCCACGGCCAGTTGAAATTTCCATTCTGATTAATGTCTCAAACAAGTTGCTTTAATACAACTTGAGTGTAAACATCAAGACACTGATTAGCCAACCTGAGAGAAAACTAAAGTGTATGTGCTGTTCTAATTTAAAAATTTCATCTCGCTTCATTACATAACACTTTTTATAGCCGACAGACTGAGCTCCATGAGGCGTTCTGCAGCCTCAGCTCACAGAAGAGACGGTGTACCAGAATTATAACAAGGTCTTTGGCTGTACAGTGTTTTGTGCTGCATGCGTTGTGCAGCACTGAGGAAAAATGTAGTCGGATAAAACAAAGTTCTGTGAAGTTCGCCTTACCTGAAAATGCGATCAGAGGGTTGTTCCCCCATCACAAGATCAAAACCGCGCTGGAAGATGGTGTAAGGCCAGGGACTGCCATGAGAAAAAGAGAAAGATCAGAGGGAGAGTAAAACTGTGTGTTAAAATCAAAGAGAGAGAAGTTGTGAATTTTTCAGTGAACCCACCTTCCTAATCTAAAACCCCATATAATCAAAAGCTGTGTTACAACGCCTGACTTCAATTCTTTCCCGCCCTTCCACAGCCCCTCGAATCACAAGCAGCATTACGATGTGCGCTGGGTGTAAACATGCCAATTGAAAAATGTGTTTTCCGGCAGATGACATGCAATGTGACTTTGGCTCATATCTATTTACCAGGGGAGGGGATAACCCAGGATGACAGGAGGAGACAGAATGGGAGAAAGAGACACAGAGTAGGAGGGTGAGACAGAGGGTGACGGAGAGAGCAGACGATGAAAAAAAGAGATACCAAGAGAAAGAGAGAGAGAGAGAGAGAGGGGGGAACATCGAGGGGGTGAGACAGATGCCAAGAGGCAGAAGTGAGAGAGGAAGAATGATGGAGATTAATGGGGAGTGGCAGCTCGGGGACTAAACAGTCTGCAAAGTGAGAGTGTAAGGAGGAGAAGTGACAGGGGCCCGATGTCGTTCTGAGCAAACTCCCTGTACCACTGTACTGTAAGCCAGAAAAGAACATCGAGGAAGAGGGGAGCGGCTTCCTTTGCCACGGGCTCTGGTCATTAAACATTTAAGTCACCCCGGGGTGCCCACTCTGTCACACAGTGACGGGGACACGGGAGACCACAAGGGAAATAAGACACAGAGGTGCACAGTGAAGAGCGGACCAAGGGTAAAGATTTGGATGTGGACCAAATGTAGAAGAAACAAAATCCACATATTTAAGAGGCTGTCAATAAATAAAGTCCAAAATAAGGAGAGAATGCCAGCTGCTTGTTCATACTGTGTTTCAAACACACATTATTTAACTGGGTGTTCTGTTCAAGTAATTGTATGTTTGCCCTTTACAATTACAAACATTTTAAGTTTTTAGTTCTTTTTTATCTTTGGTTAGCTTTCCATGTTTGATAAACTAGTAGACGTTCCACTCCTGCTCTCCACCACGACTCACACACCTGTCGTACATGTTATCACAATATCACACATGCCTTGCAGCGAAACACAAACACATAGAGAGAGAGATGGAAGAGAGCGAGCTAATGAGCATCACTCCCTTAATGCACTGATTTGTTTTCAGAATCAGAAATACTTTATTGGATTATTTTGTTAGACATTTCAAGTTTAAAATATCATATCCTACCTGCACAACTGTAACACCCCTCCATCACATTTTACATCTTTATACTACTTTTAAATATTTGTATTTTAATTTAATGGTTTGGTCAAACCACTATAAGTTCAGCCATTACTAGAAGTTTCTCGTTTGGGGTCAACCAAAGGGGCTGTCCTGCAGGTCGACACTTGACCAATCTTTTTCTTTTAATTTTGCAGAAATTTCTGGAACCAAAGCACAGGGTTTGGCACTGAGGCTGTTGCGTTAGCCAAATGTCAAGGACTTTTGAACAAGCTGATGTGAACCCAATTAGGCATTTATATAACTTCCTTGGATGAGGTCTGAAACAGCATTTTTTCCATGCCAAGAGATATCAAGTCATCACTTGAATCATTAGTTTAATACATAAGTGACCTTGCACCCAAAGAGATGAGGAATCCTTAGAGAATGATTAAGCACCCACATCTATACTGACTCAACAACGACCAAAAAAATTATTCATCATCTTTAGGATTGCTGATCCATCCTTCAGTGATTTCAGCCCTATGATTGGCTTAATGTTTAAAGGTATTCACAAATGTTGATCATATTAATCAAATTAGAGTGTGAGATTATATTGATTGCAATAGATTAATGGTTGGATTAAGGTTTGTTGGATTGTGAACCATAATAAAAGGTAAGAGTTTCTGAGCTGCTTCTCCAACTTGGACCATTACCTTCCTTTTTTAAATCTCTCTCTTTATTCCCTATCTCTGTGGGGATGCAGTTTTTTATTGCTGCATCGCCCCTTGTTAATTATTCACAAATAGATAAACAAAGAACAGCAACACTGCAGGGACAACCAGGCAGTACTATCTAGTAAGTGGGTTTCATAATTACTTTTACGGCATTACCTGGTAAATTCACTTCAAATATGATCTAATGTAATTGTAGAGCACCTTTCAATAGATGTTTTTTTTGTTTTGTTTTTTTGTTTGGGGGGAGGTTAGGACAGTTGTAGCTTGGGGATGAATAACAAAGGAAAACCTACCTTACAAAAAGTTACAGAAAGGACATTTTTGGTGCCAGTGCCTGTCAAGTCTCACAGTTAGAGGTGCCCTATCAACAACTGAATTTCAATGGCTGAATGTTGAGTTTTGGCAAAGCAGTACACAACTGTATAATCGGCGTAGAGATTGGTGTTACAATTTGTTACATCAGATGTAATATTGTTCATATAGATTGTAAACAAACCAGGACCCAGTATTGAACCCTGAGGAACCCCCTTTGGCAATGGCAAAAAAACATTTTTAAGCAAACTTGTCAAATTTAGCTTTTATCACCCCAGGGCGAACCAATATGAATTTATACTTAAACACTCCTACTAGTTTTTCTTTCAGGCAAAGTAGAATGTGCAAAAATATAAATGTGTGTTTTATGTAAACAACTAATCAGTAGCATATAAATGTTTGCAGTTTAAGTGCCACTGAAGTCTGTTGTGATTAAATTAATTGTATTTGACAACATCACAGCTCCTTTTGATGCATTTCTACAACCTAACAAGTTATGTTGTTTGATGAGTGATTTCCCATGTCGTTAATGATTCCATTTCATCTGCCTGATGATTACCGACCGTGAACTATAATGAGGTGATTATCATAACTTACCCCTGATTGGCCCCCCACTCACTGCGGATGCAGAGGTGCTTATGGACCGGGTCTTTCATGTAGCCGTCAAGGCACAGACATTCTCCTGCAAACAGAAAGGCAGGGATTCAATCATGTGTTCATTAAAGTCAAGCCTTCTCTAATTCATTGGAGGGTTCCCAGTGCTCCACTCTTTTTATTTTACACCACCAGAGCTTTCAAAAAGATTATCCTCTTCAGGCAGTGAGAGGACTCTTAATCAGCATTTTTAATGATGAAGTCAGTTTTTTTTTCTATTTTTCTTCTTCTTCTTTTTTTTTTTTTTAATATAAGCCTTCATTCTGTTTCAATGTCTCAGCAAAAGCTTACAAAGTTTTCCAGCAGGAGCCCTTTACATAATCACTTTCCAACAATGCAGCTGTGCTAAAAATGGAAACTGTAAGAAAAATGACAACTTATGAAAGCAACATCGTTCCCTCTGTTCATTATGCCAGTGGTGGATGACACGATGAGTAAAAAGCTTGTTCACTGACACACTGATATCTGGAGGACATTGTTAATCATTTTCTGCATTAAACACTCTCTGACCATAAATGCAGAATAGGCATGAAAAACATAAACATAAGACCGAACAGTTGCACATCTCATCCACCTGTCATGTGTTTTTAATTTGTTGTTCTAACTTTCCCAAACCTGTTTATGAAAAACAATGAAAAAAAACAACAACTCTGGCTTTCCTGATGGCTCCTTACTTTTTTTAATTTCTGAAACTTAATTGCAAATTGCACGAGAGTGCCAGACTTTGTAAAAGTAAATACTTTATACTCTGAATCATTATTCCAAATGTCTGAATGTAATAGACTCTGTTTGTTTAAGTGTTTTTCACAGTTATCTGACTGGTCCCATTGGCTGAATAACATCCACTACCTAAATGGGAAGTGATTAGATCAGTGATTAGTCTAATGAAAAGACACTTGGCACTGTCATTATTTACTAAAGCAAAGCTTGTCTGGGACTGAAAATTCACAAAATCCACTTATCACTGAGGCCTAAGGCAACGTTTGGGGCATTTGCTAATAGGATCACATGCAAGACTGCTCAACTGTACCGCCTTCAAATGGAAACACTGCAGAAACTGTTTGGTGAGCATGGGTTTGGGACCCCAAGTGGGACCATTTGTGATAGAGACAGGAGTGCTGAACATTTCTACGTCTGATTATCTTTTTGCTGAATTTAAAAATGATGTAGTCCCATCTGTGACAACATCTTACAACAGCTGGGGGGCGGAGGGATGTGGATTCAGTGTATCCGCCTGATAAGTGAAGCCTTTTAACAGAGCACAGTGAAGCATCAGCTTTTTGTTCTGCCGTCATCACCCAGGAGAAATGTTGGCCTAGACTTTGCCCACAATGATTGATGGGGCCTCACCTTTGGTTTCCAGAGTTACTCAGGAGTAACATGTACAACTGCTCTGCTCATGCTCAATGGGGGGTAAGGGAAGAGCGCAGGCTCTCGGTGTTATACACTGCTGTTAATGGAAAAGGTCAACTGTCAATACCTGCCAGGCTAAAGGAAATCCTAGTCACCCATTTTACTGCTCATGTTGCTGGAAGGTAACTGTGATCTCAGACTCTCTAGATTTCAAAGTATACTTTTGTTTAAGAAAAAAGACTTACAGTACAGTTAAGCTCAGGATTTTGAAAGGTTCAAAGGAGAGCGATTAAAAGAAGCTGGATCCTGAATGTAGAAAAGACAAAGACACAGAAATGGTTGCTCCTCTTCGATGGCTGCACAGCAAGCTGTTATAGCTATTCAAACATTCAACATTCATTTATCTTTTCTGACTGGAACACGTTGACTGAATACGGTCGAGGACAATGCTCAAAGAAAATGCAATCCAGTCAGCATCCTGTATTGGCTTTTGGTACCACGCTGAAGTTCATGTAAAAAGAACTGTGTTTTATACTTACTTTCACTAAAGTTCAACTTCTTTGACCACAACTAGAACAGTTGAGTGCCAATGGTTTTCCATTCTTACAAAATAACACTCAGGAATGTAACTGATAAAGCTCAGAGAAAGTACATGTAATTGGGTAACAAAGGCAACATTTCAGCTAAAGGATCTACAAAAGTTATTCGTTGTGACTGGGCTACACTGGTTCTTGCAGTTTTGGCGTTCAGGTAGTAAACTCTATAGACTGAGTTTACAAATATTGGCTTGGATTCATTGATTCTTCATGATGCCTAACCCAGAACCTGTGCGTTGCCTTGGTAAGACTTTGCGCACTGTGGCCCATCAGCCCCCACTGGCTGTGTTCTCAGAGCGCAGCACTGAACGGCACCGCCGAACAGCTGGAGTCCCAAGACCAAGGAGTTTCCACGGTAATTACTGATTTAGCACAAGATAATACGATGTATGTGCTATGAAACCGTATAAAACCCTTATAAACATATCAACAAACACACATAAGGTCATTGTTCCCAACCCTCAAAACAAGTGTTTTATTCTGAAAATATAGCAGATGTTTTAATGTTGTTTTGGTGTCTGACTTCCTGTTCTGCTCTGTGATAAATTGATGCGCCGTGCTCCGGCATCCAGCGAAAATAGAGGCCTTGCATCTCTGCTGCACGAGGGCTCTGAACTGCAGACGCTGGGACGCAGCGGAGCCAGTGGAGGCACACCTTTAATAAAATAATAGCTCTGCCAAACAGACCCAACACGCATCTGGTGGAATTTAGCAGTAACTAGTGCTTACTAGAAGGATTCTGTATGCCATCATTTGTCTTGTCTTGTTTCCGACCACCAGTCACAGTATTAACCTCTCCGACTGTTGTTTATTGTGCTTGTTGTCCCAGGGGTCGAAAAAAAAGACAAATCAGTCAATCTGTTATTCAAAGGGAGTTTTAAATTAAGCACCGGGACATGTCTGTAAAAGTCTCTACACTTTAAAATTGAATTTAGTTTGTAAAAATGCTCAATTGTGAGTTCAAATACCAGATCTTAGAAGTTAATGAGTGAGTGCAAAGTCATTGCTGCCGACAGGAATGGTGGCCAAATAACCCCTCAGGTTTTATGAACCATTATTTCCCTTTAACAGCTCTCAGAAAGCACCTCTACTGGCTTTATAGCAGCGGACTCCTGATTTACCATCTCGCAACAACATAGAGGTAAGTGAAACCCAACCGCTTCCCATGGACACCTCACAGATACACCAGCTTCAGTGTGTCAGTCAATCTTTAACAAATACCTTGGTAAAGAGATAACAAAGGTGGTAATCATTTTTGTGTTAACAATGTTTTTGTGTTAATGCGAGCAGAAGTGTTTCTTTATATTTTGTATTTAGACAGAGTAATTCATATATAAATGTTAACTTTAAGAAATGCTTGTTTGCTAAAGGAAAGTATTTCCTTATTGTATTATCTTAAACCTATAACATTATATATACTATTGCACTGCATTGTTGCATCTATTGCACTGCAAAGAAAAGTTGCACAACATGATGATGATTTACATCCAGTCGTAGGATTCAGTATATTGAGGACGTGAATGGACTTGAGCTTTAAAAAAGCTTTTCTTCTGACTACTCAACATGCTTTTACACTACAGCTCACATTCACACACTGATGGTAGAGGCTGCTGTGTAAAGTGACCATCAATAGTAACTAATCACATTCATACACATTCACATGCCACCGACGAAGTAGTGGGAGCAACTTGGGGCTTAATGTCTTGCCCTAGGACACATCGGACATGTGTCTGCAGGAGTGAGGCATTGTACCCCTGACCTTCCGGTTGTGAGATGACCGACTATAATAAACTATAAATAAACATCCTTCCATGATACCTGGCCCTCTTTCTAGCATGTTCCCTTTGAAAAAGTGCCAGATAATGTTGTAGCGAACATAACTGCTGCTTTGCTGTTGGTGGAGTTGGTCATCTCCAACTGGAAGGTCGGGGTTTGATCCCCAGAAATGTGTATGAATGGGATTAGTTACTTCTGATGGTCTCTTTACATAGCAGCCTCTACCATCAGTGTGTGAATGTGTAGGTGTGACCTGCAGTGTAAAAGCGCTTTGAGTAGTCAGAAGACTAGAAAAGTGCTACAAAAGCTCCGGCCCATTGCTGCTTTGATGAATGTGCAGCGAAAGATCTGAAATGTTTTGTCACTTTTAACCTGTTGAATTTCAAAAGAAGTAAAAATCAAAGACTAATGTCGGAGCAGCAATAAAGTGACAGGAGGTGTAGCATGTTATTAGATTAGCTGCACGGCTCCTGAACAATGCTAAACACCTCATCTTACTTTAATTGCCATTTCATCACACTCTAAGGTAACAGCACACAGCTCAAACTTGTTTTACACTTGCAAGGTGTTAGATTCTCTAATTACTAAATACATCAGGCAACAAGCCTGCTCACACCTTATTCTCATCACATGGCTATTTGTAACACGCAGTAATTCATTGTTTTTATGGCCATCAGGATGAGCAAACTGTACAGATTTTTCATTAAATAGCCTGGAACCCGTGGTTTGCATTATTAGCATGTGTTCTCTTCATGCACTGTTGTGACACTTGTGCAAAGAACCATGTTTCATCCAGAAGGTTTCGATGCAAGAACATCCTCTGTGCAGCAAGGTGTCCAATTGTGCTTTGTTTGTTGCTGAAGTCTGCTCTCCTCGTCTCTCCATGTCTCTGCTCTCCTCGTCTCTCCATGTCTCTGCTCTCCTCGTCTCTCCATGTCTCTGCTCTCCATGTCTCTGCTCTCCTTGTCTCTCCATGTCTCTGCTCTCCATGTCTCTCCATGTCTCTGCTCTCCATGTCTCTGCTCTCCATGTCTCTCCATGTCTCTGCTCTCCTTGTCTCTGCTCTCCTTGTCTCTGCTCTCCATGTCTCTGCTCTCCTTGTCTCTGCTCTCCATGTCTCTCCATGTCTCTGCTCTCCATGTCTCTGCTCTCCTTGTCTCTGCTCTCCATGTCTCTCCATGTCTCTGCTCTCCTTGTCTCTCCATGTCTCTGCTCTCCATGTCTCTCCATGTCTCTGCTCTCCATGTCTCTGCTCTCCATGTCTCTCCATGTCTCTGCTCTCCTTGTCTCTGCTCTCCATGTC